GGGTCGACTTGAAGAAATCGCATGTTTCTGCAACCTAGGTTGCAATCGACAGCTGAGTGCTTCAGTGCAAGGATCTGGAAGGGTCAACCTGAAGAAATCGCATGTTTCTGCAACCTGGGTTGCAATCGACAGTTAGCTGAGTGCTTCAGTGCAAGGATCTGTTGTCCTGGGTCTGCAGAGATATTAATACACTGGCTATAGAACCATGTGGCAGTGGACAAGATAAAATTATTTTTTTTTCTGTTGCTTATCATTAACAAAAAGAGATGAATCCTGCAATAAAGGTCTTTCTAGTAGTGAAAACTCTGTGGATGATGTTGCATAAGCATAAAAGGGGTAAATTAACACTGGTAAAAATTGCTAAAGTAGACTTAAGGTGTTTGAAAATACTAATAATATTCAAGTTTACTGCTGATGCTTATTTTCAACATTTTTTATGGCTAGGAAGTGGTTTTATCAAATCACAGATCTGGGTGATGCTACATTGCGCCTTGTGTTTTGCTGTGTTCATCATTAATAGAATGAATAAAACCATATTTTTTTCTAAGAGCATTAAAGAAGATTGCTAGAAAGCAAATCACCTGCCTGTCTTTGTGTTTCAACTTAAGAGAAGGACAGTTAAAAAAAAAAAAAAGATTTAAAACAGTAAATCCAATGGGGATCAATCAATGTTATGTTATGTTTTTTTTTCCTACAGGCTGATGTATTTCTTAGTCACCTGTGTGACTCGGTTTGAGAAGACACCAGGAAAATTTAATTCCAGTGTTCTTGGCCCTCTTTAGAGTTTTTGCTCACTTTTTTTTTTTTTGATAATATTGGAGATTCAAAATCTAATTTCACCTGCTTAGTGAGTTTTATCTTCACCTTCCTAGTTGTTATCATAATACAAGAGTTTTTTTGCTTGTAAGGGCTTTTATGAAATTTTCAAGTGTGGAAATATTTCTAAAAGTTAACAGTTTTGGAGGGAGAGGGGAAAAAAAAAAAGAGAGTCCAAAAGAAGTTGAAGCCACTTGTGTTTTTAAATGTTTCCTGACTGTGTAATTTTCTTTTTTGCTTGTATGTGGAAGAATTATTACTTTTTGGAGCCTGTGCATCAGGGATAGAGTTTGCCTCCACAGAGGTCCAGGGAAGGAAGACCAGCACTCAAAGAGATAAAAAGGGGAAAGATGGTGAAAGGGGATTTTTTGTGGTCCTTCCTGAAAGGAATTTGGCAAAGCCAAGGAAGTTTGTCAAATTGACAAATTTCAAGTTGTTCCTTGTCAAAGGAAGAGGGATTAGGTTTATTGCCGTGTTCTTCCTATTGCTGTTTCCCGTATTCCCACAAAAGCTCCATCTTTTTCCCTGCCATTGCCCTTAAAAATATCCCGTAGATACTCTGTACTGGTAGCTCTGAGGAGGGCAGTCTGTGTAGTCAATGCCAGTTCAGCTGCTGAATTAAAAAATAAAATAAACAAAAAACACATTAAATCACATTGAATGAAAAAAAGAAAGAAAATACAAGGAAAAAAAAGCATATAAATTCAGAGTTATGTTCCAGTGAACTTAAATACACATATTCGAAGACAAATATAAAAGTATTTCAAAGACAATGTGTTTGAGTTGTTAAAATTATGGTAGTAATATCTCCTTTTTTAGTGCCCTGAGGTTTAGGACTCTTATGAAAGATGAGTGCTCCAGAGTCTTTTTTTCCTACTTTTAAAGGAACAGGAATCATGTCTTCTAACTCAGAAGAATATTCCTGATCCTACCTAAATGTTCAATCCGTGAAGTCTCTTCAGTCTTTCTTGTTAAAAACAAACAAACAAACAAACTTCACCTTATATTAAAATACATGCCAGTTCCTTACAGACAGAGCTGTAGATGTGACAGAGATCTCATCTATACCAGATGCATTGTAGTAGAAGGTTAAAAAAATCCAAGGAAATCAAGGGAAAAAATAACCAGCAGAACTATGACAAAACGTGTGTTTAGAGGGTTTGAAACGTTGTGCGCTTTTCCTCGTCGCCTGCAAGGACCAGGCTGGCCACCTCGCTGGTGACCACAGCACTTGGCGAGATCCCGATACGAGTGAAGAACGAGAAATGGAATGGAAAGTTGCTTGCTATCAATAGGAAGTTAGTCCTGCTCCTCTGCAGTCCCCAAGGGTGGGCAGAGCAGTGTTGTCAAATCGCGTTTAGGGAGCGAGCACAGCTTGGAGAAGGAATGGAGATGGAATAGGCAGCGCCCTTGGTCTTTGCGGAGATGCTGCTGTTTGGCTGCAGCAGCCGATTCTGCCACCCTTTGCTTCCCTTTAGCAGCCTTTGAACTCGTTTAAAGTGGAGCTCCTCCTTCAAATGGGAGGGCAAGGAATCAGCTTGGCGCGGGTGATTTGGACCCGTCTTCCCTGCTCTGCAAGCTCAGAGACGTCGGTGCGGGCGGGGCCGTGGCGAGGCTGAGGGCACCCATGGGAAGGGGGAAGCTTGGATGCTCCGTCCTGCTCCTTTACTGCCAGGCTGCGAGGTCTTGGGGAAACCAGTTCCCCCTCTGCTTTCTCCTTATAAAATACAAGAAGAAATAAATGTTACACTGGATGTTGATTGCTTTCAGCTTCACTGATGGAAAGGGCTGCGCAAGAACCAGCTAGTGTTGTGCTGACTGCGTGAATGCTACTGAGTCCCTAACGCTTTTTCTCCACCCCAAAGTCAGCTTGGGACACAGAGGGAAAACAACTGCTTTCCTCATTTCTGCTGGCTTTCCCTAGCGTCCAGATCCCAGGCTGCAGATGGCGCATTGCAGATGCAGAGATCGTGTTCAGGGTTGACAAAGTAACAGGGCCTCATCCAAGTGTCCCACTGTGCTCTTGAAACTGGAATTTCATCCATTGCAGGGATCTCCATGGCCTTGCACTTTACCTTAGGAAAAAAAAAATTAAAAAGGAAAGCTTTAGGGACTTTGGAAAGAAAGGAGGTAATATTAATACTAAATTCTTATATGTAGTACCCAATACATATCTAAATGCTTAATGGTATTTAGTGTGTGGCTTCTATTCTAAAGAGTATGTGTATTCTCCTCAGAATTATTATGAACTATAAAAGGAAGAGGTACAATTCTTCACAAATGTTTTCCGTGAGATTGTTTTAAGTCAGTTAAAATTGCCTTTGAGAGTAGAGTTGCACTAAAAAGAGAGAGGAGAGAAGGAAAAAAGAAACCCCAAAACAGGGTCCTACTCAGTCTAGAGTTTCAGGAAAGAGAGGAAAAGGTCTAGTTATCCACAGCCAGATGCATTGTTAAAAGTTCATACTATCACTTTGACATTTAGAGTAGGACTCGGTGTCTTTGTAAATTCCTCTTCGTATTACCAGGGTAGGTCTCTGAGCTCAGAGCATTTCACAAACCATAACATTTTTTAGTGAGTGATTGATCTGTATTATGTGTCCTCGCCATCAGAAGAATCTTGGGATGTTGCTTGTATAAACTGTAATACAATCTGATCCTGAGCATTTAGTTACAGACTTTCATAGACCTATTGGCGATACTCAATCCTTCTGGATTTGGGAATAGGGCTTATCTGATACCATTTAAAAAAAAAAAAAAAAACTCCCTTCATTTTCTCTGTTCCCCACTTAAATAACTCAACACATCTGGTAACACTGTAGGATCATTGTCCTTTCAGTTCCTCTGCAGCTCGTATTGCTACAATATTTCTTAGGTATCTAGTTTCCTAAAGGACAACATGATTTTTTTAAGGCTGTTTTTGTAGGTCTTGCAAATTAACTCATATGCATTGCAAGAAAAAAAAATGACTTTTAATCAGCACCATTTCTAAAGTTAGCGCTTTTTCTATATGAATATGCATATGAACCAGTGATTAAAAAAAAAAAGAAAGAAAAAACACCTTTCTGCTAGTTCTTAAAACTAGCATGCAAATGTGTTTTTATTATCAAGTAAAATATGCCTAAATGTTAAAAAATCTCCCTGTTAGGGGTTTTATCATTTCATTTTTTGTCTTCAGTTACAAGAATGATAAAAATTTAAACTAAATCCTTTAATTCAATAAGAGCTGGGCTGAATTTTTTAGGAAGCAAGAAGGGGAATCAGATATAGAATCATATGCATAGGAAATTAAAACATTCAAGAAATTAAAGCTTTCTGAGGTTCTAAGGGGGTAGCCTTAAGGTGTGCTTATTTGAAATGACTGCATTTAATTTTACAATAAATCTAAGTATTTTGTTCCAATTTAGACAGTTCATGTGCACGGCTCTAGGTTGTACGGTAGTTCCAGTGAAACCATGCAATGCTTGCTTTACATTCTGGATCAAATTCAGGTTTTTAGGCTTCGCTTGAATAAAATAAAAAGTCTGAACCCTAAAGAAAAAGGAGATTGATAAATCTGATTTAAACATTCCCTTTCAGTGTATGTGGTGCAGCTGAGCCTCAGGCCATGCACTAAATACATCCACAGTGCATTCCCAGAGCACCCGAATACCAAATCATCACATTTGAAAGGTTGCCTTTCTATGGATTCTGACTTTTCCGTATTAGCCATGAAGATTAGAATTTTAACAGCTCCCTATGAGAGGTATTGCACAGTATTGACTTGTCAGGGAAAAAAGAAACAAAACAGAAAATCCAGGTGAGGTGCTGTCTCGTATTCATGAAGCGGGATTTATTGGCTCTGTGCATTTCCTTCTGAGAATACACTCCATAGTTCACACATGAGGAAAAAAAAAAAAAAAGAAGAAGAAAAAAAAAGCTTGCTTTGTGTTTACATTAACTTGAAGCTTAGATAGGAGAAATACTTCAGTGGAGGCTGTAGTAGGGAGGGAGGATCTGCCTCTGCCTCGCATTTGGGCTACAGAATAACCCGGTGGCTCCGGCAGCCTTTCGGAGGGAGCCTCCCGCTCCCTTCCGCAGGGAGCGTCCGCGAGCCGCCTGTGCACTCTGGAAACCCGGCCGGGGCTGGCTTGGTGCGTCCAGTGGTAGTTAAGGATGCAACTTCTCTTTCTTCTTCTCTTTTACAGGTCGTGGAGCTAATATCAAGTGCTATCGGTGACTTAGTGCAAGGTATATACTATGAAAACTCCAAGTTGTCTGAGGTAAGAACTGTGGTTTATGTTTTATGTTAACGTGCAACTACAACGTATGCAACGACTCCTTCATTTGTGTAGAAGGAAAAGGGAGAGGGAAGAAGAGCCCTGACTTCTGCAGCAACATTGTTCCCACCCGGGAAGTCTGGGAATTTCTAGAAATGCTCCAAGAAGGAATATTTTTTTTTCTGTGAGTGCTAAATAAAATAATAAAATGTGTCAATACTAAGGATACCAGACATGGTTTACTATGGGCTTTCCAAACACTTCTGGAGACTTCTAGTTAAGGGTCCGTTATGGCAGTTTTATGATAGTGTTGTGAAGTATCATTAGTATTGACACGTGAAGCGCCTGTCTCAAACCGTAGCTGCCGGAGAGATTGCAGGGTGTTTCAGCCCACACTGGCATGAGGCTCCTCCTGCTGAGCACTGCACCTTTCCACAGCTTAAACACCAGTTCTGTTGGGAAGGGGCAGCAGTGCAGCGCTGTGCATGTCTGCCCTGCAGCCCCCGTGCACGGAATCCAGGAGCTGCACGGGAAAGAAAATTACAATTACATATTCACACCAAAGGCGCAGGTATTTCTTCAGGGCCAAGCCCAGCAGTATTGTGCTATTGCTTTAACTTTTTGTGTTACAAGATATTTTGTCTTTCACGAACTTTTGAGGAAACTTTTAAGAGACCCTTCTGAAATTGACTTTGCTCAGGCAAGAAGATGAAGCAAAATGGAGATCTCTGTTGCATTGTTTATGATTATAACTTGAAGTCTGCAAAAAAAAAATCCATATTTTAGAGTTGTCATTGCCAGTGCAGGTTTTCTCATAGCAAATTATCACTGAATAGGAATGATCATCAGTGTTTAGATATGGTTATCTTAGATTCCACTGAAGATTTGTTTCTATTGATGTTTTCTCCCACGCCTAGTTTTTCTCAGAGATGTGAATCTCAAAGTTCAGTAGGTAAGGTGGTTGGAAGGCTGCAGAAGTGTTAATCTTCACACACATTTACTGCGCATTCAGATGGCCGCTCTGGTTTATCGTTGCCCTGTTGCAGTATGTGACGAAATAAATCAGGAACTGGGTGCGAGCCCGGACTACGTGTCCCACCACAGCAGCAGCCTGGACCAGGAAGGGTGAGCAGAGAGCCCAGGGCTGCTCACCTGCCCTGGAGGAGCCGCTTTGCCCGTGGGTACCGGGACACCCAGATTGCACCACGTTAGATCCGTCGCTTAATTCCCTGCACCTAGTCCAGGAACGATCGCGTCGGATCAGCCCTGCCCAAGCGGGCACGTGCGGCAGGAGGGGAGCGGGGCGGGCGCTGGCGACGCGGCTCGCTCGGCACAGCCGCGTCCCGAGGGCCCCGGCGGAGCCGGGAGCGGTGCCTGGAATGCCGCAGCACTTGGGCACCTGCTGGGCTGCACTTGCGCGGAGCTGGCGGCCGCTAGCGCTGCGCTCGGGGCTGCGTGTTGAATTAAATGGCGTTTCTTGCGTTTTTGCCTTTTAGGATTGTATTTTCTGTAGCCAAGCAGGTTTCTAAAAATGGATTTAGAACGGCAGCTGTTTGTGCCTAGAAATAAAGGTCCGCTGGTTTTCACAGCAATGCGACTGCTTATCGCGACTCTGTAACCCTAATGCCGTTTGTTTTAGCCGTGGCCTTTGCGCAGATGAGAGCTGTTGTGCTCTCGTTTGGGTGCCTGCCATCGCGCGAGGTCCTGGCTGCCTTTCTGCGGGTTTGGCAGCGCGCGGAGCTGGCGGCCGTGGCCCGGAGCGGTTGGAGCGTCCCGGGGCGGCCGGAGGACGTTTGTCGCCAGCGGGGCAGCGCGAGGCACCCCCAGCACAGCGGCGCGGTGCGGCCCTACCCTGCCCTGCGCTGGGTACACGCACAAAGGATTAACCTTGTTTCGTGAAAGTCGGTGACCTTTTCTGTCTAATGAGAGCTGAGAATGCAGGGAGACCCTTCCTAGATGGAAGCTGGTTATTTCAAAGCACAGTTGGTCTGATGGCCTAACGGGCAGGAGAGCTGCATGGCCGCAGCTGGAGTTTGGTTTTATCATGGGCTGCGTGTGGCTTCTGGTGAGACCGAGGACATACAAGGCCCGGGTCTGTTTTAGTTCTTTTGGTCTTGTCTGTTGAGAAATTTGTCTCGGAGCAGTATCTGAAACACCCCCCGCTGCTGCAGGGATGGCCCCGCGGCCTCCCCGCGTGTCCCGGCAGCCCCTGGCGAGGCCGGCCGAGGCAGCGGCCCTGGCGCCCCTCTGTCCCACCTGTGTCCTCAGGGCGTCTTCCCTCCTTCCCTCCGCACCTGACTGCAAGTCGACCGAGCCGTGATCTTGAACTAAACTTCCCAGAGATGGGTCAAGTGCTTTAATACAGTCTGCAAACGAGTCCCAAATGTCAAACTTTATTTCTGCTTGTAACAGTAGGACATAAGGATGTTTGCAATGGCATTTTCATTTCTGGGAATCTCTTACATTTACAAAAGCAGACAGCTGCTTTTTTTTTTTTTGGCAGAAAAAAATGTACTCCAGCTGCTAAATATGCCTTTAATATGGGTCTTATAAATTACTCGGTGCCATTAAATAGACTAAATTCTTATTTAGCACTGAGTTGCTTTGAGCTTTGCTAATCAGCCACCTAGATGGTTTTGTCTTTTACTTTAGACAAAAATAGCTCAGCAAAAATCACCTTTCTCCTCTAAGACCCAAAGTACATGTTTACCCCAAGAATTTGTTTGCACTTTGCTTCCTTTAAATGACCCTGTAGGAAGATTGCAAGTATCCTTTGCCCTGGTAAGACTGAGTGTACTTATTCCTGAAGACATATAATGGATATAATTATTTGACAGCTCTCATTAATGCTTTTTTGTTGTTGTTTTTTCTCCCCTCTGTGAAACCATGCGCGTTCCCCGTTTCAGTACTTTCAGTTTGGTCATTCGTCAGCTGTTTGCGTAGTGAGCCGGTATCTCCGTGTGTATCTGTAGCAGGCAGGGAAGCATCTAGTTGAGGCCTACATCCAGCAAGCGTGAGATGCTTTACAGGGTAACTGTCTTGCTACTGTTACCAAGATTCATAGTTTTATTGCATTTTTCTGTGTGTAAAATACAGAACTCTGTCAAACTTTCTAATTCAAAACTTCAAAATACTAAAACTATTTCAAAAAAAAATGTTAGTGAGTTTCTGTGGGTTATTTGTCCATTGAGATTCAGACTAGAGTCTGATGCATAAGTGGTTCAAACAGTTTGATCATTTAATGCAAGAGCAGATGGCTAAGAGGGAGCTGCCATGATGCCGGATTAAAATAAAGTCTCCCTTACAAACTACATCTTAAGTTTTACATTGAAAAGCCCTCTGATTTCTCTTTCCTGGTTATGCAGATGATTTTGTGCACTTAAAAGTAAAATAAAATAAAACCTTCTCCTCAATTTCTGAGTACCTTTGCAGTCAAACTGCTTGTAAGCTTCTTCTCTAGAGTAACAAATTACATTAAGTGCCCCTTTTGTACGGGGAATCCTTGTTAATGTAACTGATGAGAGGAGCAGTCCTTCTTGATTGCTCATGAATGTATTATTTTGCCCCATCATTTCATCTTCTAAAAGCTCTTTCTGTTTCCTTGGATGATTCTCCAAACTGAATCTGAACTGCAGAAACAGCCTAGCAGAAGTCTTCACCAGACAATTTCTTTCTAACAAAACGGCTAGTGAGCTTCATGTCAGTAAGATGGGAGCACCTGCTCTTACTTTCACCTTGTGCAGTTACTGCTTTGAAAAACTCTTAAAAAATAATAATAATAAAAAAAGATTCCTGTTGAATTGGAAAGCAGTATCACAATTTTCTATTGAAGTTTTCAAGCCATTAAGGTAAATGAATTGTCAGCATGTTAACGTGTAGAAAGCAAATGTGTTATCAGACTCTCGAGGACTGTTTTAGTTGAGTGAAACTCGCATGGGAAGTGGTGGCTGACAGAGTGGGATGCTGGTGTCTTCCAGCCCTGGCCTCCCTGGGCTCCCATGGTCGCAGTCCCCGAACTGTGCCTGGAACTTCCTTCCTTCAGGGACAGAGCCAGGGAGAGCCCAGGTCTGCTCATCCAGTGTCTCCTGCCCGGACAGCATCGGAGCTGCCATCTGGGCCCATTTCTTGGGAACGGTGCTTCTTCCTTAGGCTGTAGTTAATGCAATGTCTGAGCACTGTCAACTGCGATTGAAATGGATTTGCTTTAAAAGGTTTTTTTCTGTGAAAGATTACAGAGTCTTGTGGGCCAGCTGATATCTACGTTCGTATTTACCCTTTGAAATACCCTCTGCTGACCAAAAAACATGTGCAGGAAAAAGAAAAAAAAAAAAGTGAATCTTTTTATAAAAATACCATGCGTTGGCATGACTTCAGATCTGCAATGCTAGGGCTAGTTTCTTTTTTGTCCCTTGATGTTTTAAAATAATTTTTAGATCTTGTCATACGTAGCATTGCTGTAAAAAAATATATATATATAGCCCAGCTGATGGGCTGTTGTGTAACATGGGAGCTGTGCTGGGAAAAAACAGCGGTTGGGATGTTGGAAAATTTAACTGAAGAAAGGTCGGCTCTGTCTTGCTAACCGGCAGACGCTCGAAGAGGTCTGTGGTCAGGAGACTTTCTGTGATTAGAATCAGCTCTATTTTTGGCTTGTGAGCTCAAATGCTAGCGCAGGCCTGTATGGAGATAACTTCTTTTAAAAACGTCCTTCTAACTGTACAGTTACAGTTTTGCAGTATCTCTATTTGGAAGAATTCTGTATTGCACCTTTGAGGATGTCTCTCAAAGCCTGTTTTTTAAGCCTGGTTTGGATGCTTGAAAATCTTACATGGTCTTTGTGAGATATTCATGCTTGTTACTCCCTTTCTGTAAAACCTAGCAGATCCTTCTTCAAATAGCCTGTGATAAAAACAAAGTCCTGCGGATGTTAAGTTTTTTTTTTTTCACAAAACTATGTACTGGTTAAAGTTATAATGAAAGTAAGCCTGTTTTTACTCCTTTAAAGTAAAGGAGATCTTTAAAAGCTCAGCACACTGTGCACTTTAAGCAAACTTGGGCTTTTTTATAGCTGACCAATAGTCAATTAATGAGTTTTAATAGTAGAGAGTAACTTGTCCTGCCATCCTTTTTAGTTATGTGATTAAACTCAAACTTCCTTAAGAATGTATTTTTTCTAATATATTGTAGGAATATAAGTGACTGTTCAATCTCTTTAGTCCTTGCAGTTGGTATTTCATAATGCTTTGTGACTGTTCAGAGGTTCAGGCATGCTGGCATCTTAAATGTACAGGTCTTCTGAAAGATTTTCGTAATTTCATAAATTGTTTCAACTTACCTTGCTAGTCTCTTTCTGCCTTGGTGGTTATAAAAATCACTGCCAATTTTTAGTGTATCTTCCAGCAAGTTTTGGTAAATATCATTCTTTTTCTCTGAGCAGATTGGTTGTTAAGGAAGAGATTGTGTTGCGTCTTCCAAGAGCTCCTGATTTTAATTTTAAAATAAATTGATCTATATCTGAGTGAAAAACAACTTGATACGTAGGAAGCTACTAGAATTAAATGCTCATTTTGACGTTTTGCCAGTCACGGGAATTTGCACATTCTCTGGGCTGAGTTAAGATATTAAAACTAGAACGTTGCAGTAAAATGAAGCATAAGGAAAGCTTAGGCTTCTCTTCGTAAGTTATCACATGCCTAATAGCAAACTTGCTGTTTTCTGTTCTTCCTTTCCTCGTATAAGTTAATAGTATGTCGGAAAGCAGAGGAATTTTGATACAGCATTGTGCTACTTGGCATTGCAGCATTCTCCTACTTTTTCCATTAGTCTCATATTATCTTCTCCCTTGTAACATGGCACTTCTGGGCGATACCCTTAAGGGAGTAAGGCCAGAGCAGAACGGATGGATTTTGTTTCATTTGTTACCAATTTCATGACAGATAATACCCTGCTAGAAAACTGTAGGGTCACACAGAATTAGTTCTTGCTCATTTCTAAATAGTTTAATTGACATCACTTTGAGGAGAAAAGTTGTATATGTATGAGATTTTTTATATTATTCCTTTAAAGAACATCATTTTCACTTAGCGCATGCTATAGATTTGAATGAGCTGAGAAATTGCAAACTATTTTTATCATTTACATTCCTGAAATTTCTCTGTAGTTTCTCAATATTGAGTTTTTTCTAAGTAGAAGAATCTTTGTGGTCTTTTCCTTTTTTTGCTTTATTCTCTTTAGAGGGTACCTAAAGGCATGAGTTATGGGTGTGCGTGAAATAGATTACAGATCATGTCTGGCCTTGAAGGCTGGCATCATGTGAGCTGAAGAGCTGCAGTTGACTTTGGGGTTGAGGGGGGAAGGGATTGGGTTCCTGTTAAGGAAAACACAGTTCTGTGCAAAGTATTTCACATTATTGTTTTGTATACTGAAGGATTTTGAGAAATATTGAGCATCTTTGACCTTAAAGTCAAGGTGAAAAAGTTCACCAGAAGCCTCCCCAAGATCTCTTGTCAAACCTCTGGGAAAGTTAACATTTGATATTTCTAAAGCATAATTTTATTTTAAACACTTCCTGATTTTCCTGGTTCGTGAGAATGAAGTAAAAAAGGTACAAGTCATCCCTTACTACCCTCCATTTTTTCAGCACAGTCCTATAAGTATTTTTAAAACCTTTTGTGATTTTTTTTTTCTTAACTACAAAGGAGAAGTTTAAGTAACTCGGAAATGTCATTCCCCAATTGATTGAGGTTATTGTTTTTTATTATTATTACTTTATTTATTATTATTTTTTACAGACAAGAGTTTAGATGCTGATGTGCCCTGCTTGCTTTTCTCCCCTGCTCTCAGTAGGAGTGCCACTGACTGTTGGCATTCGGTGTAATGACACAGACATTAAGGAAAGGGTCTGTGTAAAATCCATGGACAGCTCTGTATATTTCTGTGGATCTTTGGAGCAGGACCTTCGAATGTTATTTGTGCCACTGGGCTGCTCAGGGCAGTGTGTTCTCCACCCGCCCCTGGAGCAGGCCTTTTCTCCAGCCTTGGCACCCTGAGTTTTGTTACTTGCCATGTGCTGTGTTTTCCTGGGCAGCACCGCTAGCTTCTGCTACGTGATAGAGCTGCAGTTTTGCTGTTCTCACTTTGGCCTCTGTTTCGTTTTCAGGAAAACTGTCTTACGGACGATATTGGAATATCGACTTGGAAAGAGCAGGTTTTCCTCTCGCACAGCGCCTTGCTGGCCAAGAGCTGCCAGGCTGCCCTGGAGCTGGCGAAGCACAGCGCCGAGCTGCAGGACACGGCGTTTCAGTACGGGAAGCACATGTCCATGAGCCACAAGGTAGGCTCTTCACGCTCTGCCCAGCGCCCGGACGCTGCAGGCCTCGCAGCAACGTCCTGACGTGTTGCTCTTAACCTCTGTCCTGTGCGACATGCTGGGCCACAGACCTCTGCTGCCATGTCAGCAACAGCGCTCATGAACCTGCAGAACCCCCCCTCTGAGCAGCACAGCTTGCTTCGTTCAGGGCTCTATTGAAGGTCCTCTGATGCGTCTTCCTGTAGCCCTTTCCTTCTCTGCTCCTGCTTTCTTCTTGAAGCTGCTATTCTGGGCGCAGGAGGAACCTCAGCTCGCGCCGAGGTTGGTACCAAGAGGCCCAGCCGTCTGCAGCAGCACTCGAGGCATGAGCTGCAGTGGCCAAAATCCCAGCAATTGTCCCCTCCTGACAGGTCTGCTGTGAGGACAACCGTGTGCCGGGGGGAGCTTCGGGATAAGGAGGGAGGTCAGGGAAGGGCAGCAGCATCTGGACTGCTGCAGCAGTGTGAGAGCCCACAGGGCCCCTGGGGCTGAGGCCCCTGCTCGCCCTCCCTGGTGGGTCAGTGGCCCTGCGCAGAGGCACGTTTGTGTTAGCATTTGATCTCAGGTCAGGAGATCAGCCCCTGCTTGCTGCTCTGTGCTCGTGTTGCAGATGTCTCAGGGCTGTAGTGCTGTAGTGCAACCAAGATACACCTGTCAGTGCAGAAGGTGGCAGTTGGGTATAAAGTCAGGAGGATACAGACCTTGAATTGGTGAGTGGATGGGATAGAACAACTTCTAGTATTTGAAGAAATATATTCTTTTCTTTCAGCTACATTCAGACCTTCAGCCATTTGTTAAAGAAAGTTCTAATGACACTGTGGTCTTCAGTTTAAATTCTGCTCCTGCAGTCCTGCATCAGGAATTCCTTGGAAGAGAGGCGTGGATTAAACAGATTAGAGAGGTAAATTAACTCATGCTTTATAATTTCTTAGTTTGTTTGGATCTCTCTCTCTGTGTACGTTTTCAGACTACAAAGAGGTTTGGAAACTAACAAAAGAGAGGACAACATAGAGCAATTCTGCTGAGCAACATTTACACATTTCTCTCATGCTTTCAAGAGAGGGGAAGTGCTGGGCAAGGACAAATGAGCTGTGTCAACCTTCAGTGTAATGATGGAAGAGGTAACAAGCAGATGCATTGGCACAAAACACATGTTTGTTCCTCAGTACTTATGCGAAGTCCCACATACTAGCTTGAGACTACTTTCACTCACAGCTTAAACCAAAAATCTTTGCACCACAGTAGCTGAATGAGGCATACATTTTCTTCTGCCAACTTTGACCTGGGAGCAATAAAGTGATGGGGGGAAAAGAGCTGGGGATCGTGGCTTCCTGACCACTACAGAGAGTAGCCCGTCTAAAAGCTGTGAGTCGCCTCTGGCAGTTCTTGCCATCTCTATACAGATTCTTCAGCAGAAAGACTACTTTCTTCAAAAAAAAAAAAAAGCTAGTTCTCTGCAAGCATATTAATTCTAGACCTGCTCTTTTCCTTTCCATTTTGAAAGCAGAACTGGGGGGCACAGGCCAGGAATTGAGGGCTTCTGACTCCTGTATTTCTGACTGTCAGGTTTCAGTCTGCATTCACATACTGCAGACCTGAAGCAAAGTTGCTTCAGGAGTGAGGGTTGTGGGAAATACATGCAACCTCCTTCACCTTACAGTGATGCAGAGAAAGGGGGAAAATCTATCAAACCAAAGTGAACTTCTCTCATTTTGAAATTAGGGGCTGATAGTTTAATGTCTGACTAGGAACTTTGGAATTCTGTAGTCTCAACGCAAGGCCAATATGCAAGTTGAATGTAAATGAATTTGGATGATTGCAGCTGGAGAATAATGGTATTACTACAGCATTATACATTACAACAGCTTATAAAAGCTTTGAAACAATTTCCCATCTGCAGAATCTAGAGAGGGTTGCAGAATTCCAGGAGTCTGCCTGCCTGCTAATTCTTATACAAAAAATTGGTGTCACAGACACAATGAAGCAGTTCTCACTGAACGGAAAAAAAAGAAAATGGCATGCACCATGGAAAAGTATCAACTGCCACTGTTGTTAAATACAAAGTAGAGGACCTAGTCAAGGAGCCTCTTGGCTTATGCTGACTGAGAAAAGCAAATTACCTTTTTAATAACTGCAAGCTTTTTGAGATACCACCTGTGGTCACACCCACTATGGACATACAGGATTGATGCATTTTGAGTCAATTTTGGGGGAAATTAGGAAGCCTTCTTCCTGGCCAGGGGAGTAGGCTTCACACCACGTCATTTATTACAGAGCACCACGGCTCTTCTGGCACATGGCAGTCTCTGGTGCTGAGGAGGAAGGCTGAGCCGAGTTGGCCGGTCACCTCTCTAGTGTGTTGACGAGGAGGTGCTTTCCCTTGAGGGCCTGGAGCCCCAGCATTTTCAGCCTGAGCTGCCCAGCCCAGCAGCGAGGCGCCTGCGGTGCGATCTGGGCTGCTAATGAAGCTGGATGAGAGCCTGTGCCTTCTGCAAGTCAGCCCTGGTGCCTTTGTGGGAGCTAAACCAGGCACAGAAGTCAGATGTAAAGGAAAACTCTGTGCCTGAAATCAGGGTCAGTAAAAGTCAAAGAACAAACTACTGTGAGGATGGAAAAAAAAGAGAAAGAAGCAAAGGTGGGATTGTAGGAAAGGTGGCTTAGAAAAAAGATTTGACTAAAGCTGTTGCTTGGAGAACTGCAGTGGCAGTTCTGCAATTGCAACCATAAGTGGTTGAAGGGAACAGAGTGTGAAGAAACTCTCTGGCTGTTTGTAGCCTGTATTATATGCAAGAGAAGAGCACACCTTTTTAGTGTATTGCTAAGAATAAAAGGCATCTTCATCGAGTGTGAATCTGCATAGCAGCAACCAGAGAACATGTTCTTGGTATGTTCTGGTACACGCTGTAACTACTAAGTATGTTTTGAAGCCACCATAAGATCCAAACAGTGTGAATAAAAGTTGGCAAATCAAGAGATGGGAATTCACAAACAAGAAGCAATTATTGGCAGTGGTTTTGCTACTCTCAAATTATGTAAGGCTGTTTTCTTAATATGAATTTCAGAAAAGCTGGATTTTTTTTTTTTTTTAGGAGAAGCTTGAAGAGTCTCCTCTCTCCTTCAATTAAATCATTTTTTTTACCTAGTGCCTTCCTTCCTGTTCTGGTTGCCTAATTTCTCCTCAGTTCTTTGCTCTATTTTGTGTTGTCTGTCTTACAAGACGTAATTTATATTCCAAATCTGTGGCGTCTCAACAGCGTCTCTTCAAAGCGGGACTTAGCTTTCCTCTTTGGTGCAGCTCTTCTCTTCAGGCCAGTTGGCTGCCACCTCCTCCTGGCTGCTTTCCAGGGACAGCCCTTGAAGTGTCCGCAGAGGACCTGGAGAGGCTGTGGTCCTCTCCCGACACCCTTTCACAAGGCACATTCCAGAGGAGCTGGGGTTTCTGGCCCTCCCATGTGGAGGTTAGAGGGAAAGAAGTAGCGCAGATGGTTTTCTTTCTGTGGGCCCAGAGAGGGAACAGCTGGAGGTGGACAAGGTGATAATGGCACGGATGGGTTTGGTCAGAGGAAAGGGCTGCAGGGTGGCCGGGCGGGAATGCACTGGGTCTGGCATTACCGTAACTGGGTGAGAAAGACATAAATGTGCTATTTTCTACATAGCCTAGTGGCAAAGCAGAGGAATTTGGCCTGTGTACTTTTCGGCATCTGGGCAAGAGCAACTTCAAAATTTATTCACGCTTCGTTCTGAATGTGCTAGGAGGTAAAGGTTGCCTGTGTCTACTGCTTAAGTAAAGGGTGACACTGTGTACTTAGATGCAATTCTAAACCCAACGCGTAATTAGCATGTCTCATTTAGGCCTAATAGCTCTGACATGGTCTTGACACCCTCTTGGAGAGGATCAGCTCTAGACATTTAACTGTGTGCAAATCACTGGAGATAAGGAGTAGTTCTCTTTTAAGAGGTGTCTTGATTTTTCTTAGCTATGTAATCCTATTATTGCTTAGCTGAGATACAGTTTATACCCAAGATCTTATGGGGGAGGTAGATTAATGCAAACAAGATTTCTTATGACCAAAATGCTTTATATTGAAGAAACTGTTTAGCTAGAACTCATAATAAAGATATTATGTTCAATGTCTGGAGATGTCATCTGAAACAGAACTATGTTGTATAGGCTGATAATGTTTTGGGTTGTATTTTGGATTTTTCTGCATCAGATTTCTAAAGGATATCAGTTATGTCTAAAATAATAGTTCTCCTAATTGCATTCTTCATTCTTACAACTCTCATTTTTAGAATGTTACATAAAATCTCTCTTTCTCTTTAAGGCACAAGGAAAAGGAAGCATAATGGACTACAAGAAGGTTAGTTAATGACATTTAAACTTGCTTATTATTTTTAATGTTTCCTGTAATGCTTTTATGATTATTTTTGACAGCTGAAAGAAACTTCCGTATTAAAGTCAAATTATAATTTGTGCATATGAATGTGGAGGAAAGGAGAGTGGCTTGTGCAGCTTCTTAAATTAAAGAGCCAGTAACGGTCAGCTATTCTGTATCAGGTATCCCTCTTTTATAATCATTTTGGCTGTTTTTCATCCCATTCATCCCACAATACCATTCCAACTATTAAAACAAAACAAAAATCCATTCTGCTCTCCCTTCATTTTCCTAATAATTACTTTCTTCCAATCCTCGCTGCAGCTTTCAACTAAGTCCCCCCTGCTTTTGCTCCAGGGCTGCAGTACCCCTAGGACAGGCCTGTCTGAGCTAAGGGGCTGGTGTGCTGGAAGCAGCCGAGGCAGCGCGGAACCCTTGGAGGTGCCCGTGCTGCCGAGGAGGCTTCCAGGAAAACGCCGGAGCTGCTCACTGGGGATGGGCGCGATGGAGGTGGACGGTGTGAGGTTGTGTCCCCCCGTCTCTCACTGAGCATGAGGCCGAGTTGTTTGGAGGCTTTGCTG